TTTGCAAATATGAACAACAGAAGTTTATGAACGTTCTTTTTTACTGTCATTGAAATAGTTAATTACAATATTGCAACAAACTTCCGACATCAAAGTTGCAGCCCATATTGCTTTAATAAATTTGTCTTGTTTTGATGCAGACCAGAAATCGAGATGCTTGAAATGTAAAATTCCATCTTTAAGTCTTTAAACATTCATCAATTTCATGAACTTCACTATAAATTGCACTTAGGATGCCTTTCAAAATTTCAAGAAGAACAGCAAGATAATTAGCTGTTAAGATGCATATATTTGCACAAAAGAATCCAATTTCACCAAGCTCCACTCTAAAGGATTCCAAAAGGTAAAATTATTCTTATGCGTCTAAAATATCCAGGTATCTCTTTTTCTCATATACCAAAGCTAAGCCTATGAGACAATCTTATCTAACAGAATTTAGGAATCAGATTCAAAGGACATACTAGTACTAACCGTGGTCATCAGTTTGCCTGGATATTATCCATGTAAAATAAAATTAATTAAGTGCTCTTGTTCTTCTCTTTCAACTGTAGTCCAGCTAGGCACATAATTATATTGGTATAAATATAGTTAAATATGATCACCTGAAAATGATTTTAAAAGTTCCGAGATTCAGAGACGGCTCTGATCGATCTTATGAAAGAACTTCTTTTCTATTATAAATTCAGTCTATGATCATGTCACTTCAAGGACTAAATATGAAGGAGAAAACTGAGACATTTTGACAGAACTAATTAAGTGCTTTAGAAAAAAGTTTCTTAAAAATTAAAAGGCAATTTAAGTACCATCTAACCTTCATTAAACTGGAAGTGATGAAAGAAGCACAATACTACATAAACAATATGTTATGATTCCATCTGACAAAGCTTGAACAATATAATATTTGTTTGTAAGGCTCATTATTGCAATTGAACTTAAAAAGAACTTGGTTTTAACTCCACATCTTGAAAAAAACCCACATACATGTACTCACTGATCATTTTCCTTTAAAGGAATGATCACGTTTGAAATACTTAATATTACATTTCAGTCAAAGAAAGTGAATTTGATTCACCGTACTAAGAAGTAACTTCAAAACTTCATAAAAAATCTTACAAGGAAAGATACATTATAGGGTCATAGAAAATGCTCTACAAGCCCCTTATCTTTACTCCTCAAAAAATATTACCTGCTATGAAGGAGAAAATTTAGACTTTCTGTGCTGAAGCATATTCAATAAGTGGTGTAAATCAAATGTGGATTATTTTAAACTCCAAAACTCTTGGAATCATAAAATATTCACAAGATAAATATCATCAAAACGTATGACTTTTCAACAGTTTTAAATATTTATATTTTTTTATTGCAGTTCCTCATTTACAATATATATATATATATATATATATATATATATATATATATATATATATATATATATATATATATATATATATATATATATATATATATATATATATATATATACCCTTATATTGATAAGGATTGGTGTCAAATTTATAAATTATAATGCTTTTTTAATGAAGTCTATGAAAATGTATCTATGCCCCTATTTTAACCTCACCCTAGCCCCATTGACATGATTTAAACAATTTAAGTTCTCAATAATGATGCTTGTGTACTTTTTATCAATACAAATGTTTATTAATTGAGTCCTCCGCTTATGTTTCCTTCCTAAGAATCACGCTTATATTAAATCATAAATAATTTTGTTTAACTACAAAATGACACTTAATTGTAGAAAACTGACTGAAATCTGTAATATAAGTTATCCTAGGTCCTATCAGGATAATGATTGTCAAACAAAGCAATAACGAATTATAACAAAGAATCAGCTACAATTAAATCAATGATTCCAACCTAACTCTATAAACTTATCCCTGATTCTGCAGACTGCATGAGTGGTTTAACATGAGTGGTTGAACAAAGAATTCTGTTGTTTCCTGACACAGCCTGCAATAGCTGCAGAACTGTAGCATTATGAATTTATATTTTAGTCTTTGACTATAACGCTACAGATCCCGTAATGCAAATATTATGCAATTTACGTTGTCTCTACAGACCAATAAACTCTTATTTTGAATTTTTTGTCGGATGGCAGAAACGAGTTTATTGGTCTGCAGAGACGACTATAAAGGGTAAAGAGGTGGATAAAACATCAGTTTTGGTAATGGAATAAGTCTAGTATTAGGGAATGAAAGGTAGTTGATTGTCCACTGCTGGAAAGTGGAGAAATACATCCCCAGCCGTGCGCAGAAAATCTTGCGCCGTTAATTGCACAAAATTTGCATTATTGGGCGTGATGGTCAAAGACTAAAATGTAAGACCATAAAGCTATATACGCTATACAGAACTTACTGCAGCTAAGCCTGCAACTACCTAAAACACCCTATCACAAAGCCACAGAGACACCCTGAAGTCAGTCACAGAGACAAAAACTAAAGTCACCGAGACACTATAGCTAGTCACAAAGACACTAGGGAACTAAGTCCCTGAGCTGAGTGGTCTAACAAACAATTCTGTTGTTTCCGACACAGCCAAAGCACCTAGACCAAGTCACATTACACCAAAGTAAACGAGACTTAGATGGGCCCCTGTATTTACATTATTTTGCAGCTGCTCCATTAGTACTGATTAGTTAGTAATTCTAAACAATTGGTAGGCTGAAATGTCAATGCTGATTGGCTACATATAAAGTGATTCGACTGGATGATTCAAGATCTATTTCAATCCACAATGCTAATTCTATTTCATAACACTTGTATATTTATTTGACCTATTATATTACCTTCCTGTTCTTTTGAATTTTTCTTAAACTATTGGATCTATTCAACGCCCCTCTAAAGAAATGCTTTCAATTAAATTTTGACAAAATATGGTCCTGCTTTTAGAAAAGACATTTTAAATGATGACTTGAAGAAATTGAAGCTACACAAAATAGAAAATGAAAAAGCTTTGATTTTGATTTGAAAAATTGTTGTCCTATTGTTCTTTGGAAGATTTTAAAAGATGTATCTCTGTATAATGTTCTATCTTCAATACTTCCTTGGCCGCGACTGACCTAAGTCGATAAAAACAATAGGTAGTAACTATTCCTCCACCAAGCCCTCGGCACTTTGAAGTGAAAGTTGCAGGTCCTTCGGATGAGACCTTAATACTCGAGGCCTGTTGTCACGGTAGGCGTTGGTACGATAAAGAACCCTCACTGCTCAATGGCCCTGAGTGCCGAGTAAAGGTTTAAATTTGAAACTCTTCACAGGTACATGTATATGGTGACATCTCTGTATGAGTGAAAAATTCTCGAATGGGACGTAAAACAACATACAATCAATCAATACTTCCTTAGGTATTTCTGATTAAACATTGACCCCCAGTTGGGCCCTAAACTAGCCCCATGGGTCATGTTTTGGAGACCAAATGCTTCCTTTCTAAACCTTCTTTTTTAAAAAACAATTTTGAAAAAGAAATAATATCCTTTCATTTTTATAAATTAAATTCCTTAAGATCCCTATACAGCTGTAATTCAACCTTTGTGATATATAAACATTATTTAAAGTTGAAATTGGACCAGTTGCTCCGTAAAAAATTAAAATATAACATTATTCATCCAACCATCATACAGTACATGTAAACAGGAATAATTTAATAAGAAATACTCACTTAAAGGAATACTCTTCTTAAAGACAGATGATACAAACAAAATTTTATCAAAAACCATGAAATAAAAACTTAGGTCATATTTATATAAAGTAAAATGAATAAGCTTAACCGCATAGATTTTTTTTTTAAACTTTCACAAAAATGTGATTTAAAGAGACAAAAAAGTTGCATAGATTAATAAGGATGGTTGCAGAAAGACATCCTAGAAATTTAAAATTTCTTCAACTTTTAGAAATTTAATATTCGTATCATTTACAACCAGAATAGGTTAAAATATATACCAATCCAGACATTCATTTTTTGTTTGTATCATCTGTCCTTAAACAAAAGTTCACGTCATTTCATTTTCATATTTTCTGAGCTCAAGGATAAGTCAACGTTTTCCATCTTTAAAAAAGATTCATGAGCAAATAAACCAATTTTAAAATCATTGCACTTACTTATTTTCACTAAAACAAATGAAGATACAGATAGGTATTATTGTTTTCATTCATACAGAAACGTTTTGTCCAGATGTTGATGCTCCTGAAAATAGCACAGTTGTATCTGTAAACAGGACGGTGGACGGAGAATTGGTATATTCTTGTAACACTGGATTTTATCTTTTGGCGGGAAATCTAAGCAGATTTTGTTTACCAAACGGCACATGGAGTGGGGATCCACCCGTATGTTCAGGTGATCGTAAACAATTACGCCAGTAGCTACCTGGAAGTATTATGAAACACTTTTCATGTATTACGTTTAAGCCTTTTTAATTATATCTGCATGTATATCTTCTCGTACAAGTACAAAGACTGTCTCTTCGTTATTTATTCGTTCAAACTCAAATTGAGGCAGAATATTGGCCTGGTCGAATGCTATTCAGTAAAAGGTGCCCTCGTCCAGAGATTAAGTATATCTGGATTAAATGTATGGATAGTTTTCAATGGGCGCGATTTTAGCAAGAGGTCAACAAGCCCAGATTCCTTCATTATTCAACCAATTTAAACATGTCATACTGGACAATAAGGTGAAGAAAATACAGTTTCCCCCCATTAATATATGTTAGCAAAAGCTTCTTTTAATACATAATTGAAGTATTTAAAAAAAATTGCCCTTATATCTCTGATACATTTTTAAAATTGGTTGTTCAAAGAGGAACATTCACTAATTTGACCTCCAAGATGGCGACCAAGTGAAATAACTCGAAGGGAAAATATGCCATACGAAAACTATCTACACATGTATATGAAATATCAAGGGCAATAATTATGATAAAGATTCTACACAATCACAGATAGTATGCTTATGAATATATATACACTGGGCATTTTTGTAAAGATCAAATGGAGAATGTACCTAACTGTATCATTTGTGTCACAGAGATTCTATGTCCTGCGTTAACGGATCCGACAGATGGCACTGTTGTTTTAAGTTCCGGTAGATCTGTCAATGATGAGGCTTTTTACAGTTGTAATCCAGGGTTTGTAAAAACTGGGGGTAATCTCACTCGAACCTGTTTAGACATTGGATATTGGAGCGGTAGTGCTGCAACATGTTCAGGTGATGCATTCTAAAAGCAAATTATAACTATGCTTACCTTGTTTTAGGAAATTTTAATCATTTTTTTACTTTGAATTTTCTTCGGTAATTTAAGGTCCATTATGTTTTTTACTTTTCAGAGGTATTTTGTCCTATTCTTGATAATCCAAAAAATGGCACTGTAACTATAACGCATCCTCACCTCACACAAGTCGCTGTGATGCTGCATTTGCCCGTAAATGCATCAGCCGCATTTTCCTGCGCACCAGGATTCAACTTATCTGATGTTGCGATTCTTACGTGTCTTATCACCGGAAGTTGGAATGGAGCTCCTCCTACCTGTTCCCGTGCGTAATATGTTTTAAATTGTCTAGTTTTTACTCGTCTGAGCTGAATGTTCATGCAAGCCTTTACGATCAAAATTCATCCGTCATCTGTTTGGTTTTTATGTATATATATTGACTTCTAAAGAGTTATTGGACCAATTTCAACCAAATTTACATGGGTGTAATGGATCAAGTTTAAAAGATTAAAGACAACAAGCCTTTCAAGGGGAAATGATAAAGAAATTTGTGGAAAATTTCTAGAATTAAAAAAAAACTCATGACCATAGGGACTCCACCAAGTAATTTTAACATACAAACATCCCAGTGTTTTCAAAATTCATGTTTGTTAAATACCACCCCTGGGGCTAGGGTGAGGTAGCAATAAGGCATGAAAGTTCGACATTGGATATATAGAAAAAAAAATCATATCTATACCCCCACTCCGAAGAAGAGAGGGTATACTGTTTTACCCTTGTCCGTCTGTCTGTCTGTGTGTCCATCCGTAAAAAAAAATTTCGTCGCGGTTTTCTCAGCAACTACTCATTGCAGGTGCTTGAAATTTTAGCACACTCTTTGCTTAGGCATGCCATATGATGGGATTCATTTTTGTATGAATCTGATGCCAACTTCCTGTATATCCGTGCGTCTGTCCCTACCATAACTAAAACATTTTCGTCGCAGTATTCTCAGCAACTACTCATCGCGGATGCTTGAAATTTTAGTACACTTTGTTTAAACATGCCATATGGTTGGATTCATTTTTGTGCGAATCTGATGTCAATATCCTGTTTATCCATGCGTCCGTCAGTACCATATATAACAAATTTTCGTCGCAGTTTTCTCAGCAACTACTCATTGCAGATACTTGAAATTTTAGCACACTCTTTGTTGAAGCATTTATTGTGGTGGATTTCATTTTTATATGAATGTGATGTCAATTTCATATTCGTCTCTGTGTCTGTCCATTGCTGAACTTGTGTATATTCAAATCAGAGTGTATATACATATCAGAGCGGGGGTATTACTAGTGAGCATTGGCTCACAGACTTCTTGTTTGTCGAAAACAGAAGAGCAACCCTTAGTCGTACTGGTATAAGTATGGAAATCTCCACAAGTATATCAAGATGTAAGTTTGTTCAAATCATTGTTCCTGAAGCAATTTGGTCAACACTAGGTTAACAAAGTTTTATATTTAAATAAACAAAAAATTCTTTGAACATATCCTTTTCCAAAATGAAAGAAACACTCAGTCTATTAACATTGCAATATAGATTCCAGTTGGTTCAATTATAGCCCATGGGGGGTTTAAGTGGAGTCTCTTGAGGATCAAAAGTTTTACATCGGAGTATATAGGTTTATTTTTAAATTCCCAAAAACAAAATTACTTTGAATAGCTTATCATTTAATAAACCTCCACTGGTAATTATAGATGTAGATCTCTTCATGGTTTTAGAGACAACGTTTTAAATTGGAATACATGCATGTAACCGCGTTTAGGGAACAGATCGTCGTCCCAAATCATGACGTCACAGTAAAATTTCAGTTTTTAAACCTCTGCAATATAGTTTCTATCTTGACTTCAAGTCCCAATATATGACTAAAATTGCTGAAAACTAGACATAATAATTTCATTTATCTGAATATATTTTTTCTGAGAAAGGTTGAGTCTTGTGTCCAAGGTTAATAAAACCGACTTCTTATTCGACCTTGTTTTGGTATTTCAAAAAAATTTGAAATCGTAAACTGAGAGAACTTAATGCAAAGGTTGCTAATTGTTAAAAAAGAAGAAAAACTAGAATTCTTTGCACATGTAAAATTAACATGACTAACTTAGCTAATTAGATTATTTCACCTTATGTTGTGTGCATCTCAACGTATTCATTCCACAGAAATATTGTGCCCAGATACTTTTTCTCCTTTGAATGCCATTGTGGTGGAAGTAAACAATGGAGTAAATGGAACCATACAATACAGCTGTTTATCTGGCTTCCATAATTCCGCGGGAAACCTGAGCAGAACTTGCATGTTGGATGGTGTTTGGAGCGGGGATCCCCCAGTATGTTCAGGTACTACAATGTTGATTTTTAGTAGTTTTGTCTTACCAAGGGTTTGTTAAAGCTAAATTAAGGGCGCGTACAGCATTTCTTTAACACAACCCAATCACAGAAAAAAAACTTGACGATAAGGACAAACTAAACTGTATGATCACTTCAGCCGTTCTATCGTCAACTTTTCTTATTCATGTATTACTATTTTGCTATCAACTGATGTTTATGTCTCCCAACTTGACACTCAAGAGCATGCTTTGAATACGATCAATTTAGAAACTGAGGCAGGCTACTGAGAGATAAGTTGATGCTAAAGGAATTTCAACAACCTCGTTTAAGGTCAGCATTTTGTAAATTGTCGTTTTATACTGACATTGTTAGCAAATAAAACCTATCATAGGGTAGTATTTGATTGACATATTTTATACCAATTGTTAGGTCCTTATTCTTATACTAAATTTGGCTAAGGAATACTCCGTCTACCAAAACATAGGGATTGCAGCGCCTATGGACTTGAACAACCTGTCATGTTGCCATCCAAACTTTGCTACTCGTCGTCCAAAGAAATGTTGACTGCAGGCACATGACGTCCTTTATCCAATGACAGAGCGACATTTTAGTCCGAGACAAAACAAATAACCTAATAAGTAATAGAACCAGGGCACGATATACACAAAAGTGCTAACTGCCACTAAACTTGCATAGTAATGCTAGTTGCGACATTACATCTAGCCTTGTTTTCCTACAGAAATTTTCTGTCCATCACTGATTCCTCCTCAACATGGAGGTCTCATCCAGAACACCTCTGTAGGTGGAACAGCTTACTGCTACTGCAATCCCGGGTTTCAGTTATCTGGTGGAGATTCAAATCTTACATGTCTGGACAATGGAACTTGGGATGGAGACCCTGTAATTTGCTCTGGTAAATACTCTCATTCTAAATGTAAACAAAATATTTTTTCTTTCCATCTATACCAATGTCTATAGAGAGATAGATAGAGTCAAAGAAAGAGCGAGAGAAATATATATGCTTTTACAATGAATACTCATGAGTGAATAGCTATTTAAAAAGAATTTCCTTTAATTAAATTGATAAATTACATGAACATATTTAATTACCTTGTCTTATTACCTAAACTTTACTCGTGTTTACAGAAATATTATGTCCAGTAATAGAAAATCCAGAAAATGGCATCGTTACATTGTCGAACAACATCTCCATGACGAATATTGGGATGTCAGGTGTTCCCTTTAACACTATCGCTACATTCTCCTGTAACCCCGGGTACTATATAGCGGCGTCTGTATCTATCTTCAAACGCATCTGTCTCGTAAATGGAAGTTGGGATGGGGCACCATTCAGCTGCTCAGGTGAGCATGTACAACTGTATTTACGAGAAACAAAAGCTTTTTTGTTATCGAAGTAAAAATAACAAGAATCATTACTAAGAAATGTTATTGTTTCACTGATTTTGAAGCTAAAATTGAACTTCATTTTAAAAATGTCAGTTTAAAAAAAGGTCATGAAAATAACCAAGCAAAGATTTTTTTAACTTTGATCGTTTAGCCCCTGTCTGGTAACAGACAAAGAGTGTCTAGAAATATTCAATGTATCTCAACAGGGTTGGGGTAATAGAAATAAGTAATTGTAAATTACTGTATTTAAATACATTTTTTCAAAGTAATTGAAAGTATTTGTAATTGAGTTTGTTTTCAATTACAAGTAATTGAATGTATTTAAATACATTCCAAAAATGTCATGTATTTTGTATTTATGTAATTACATTTCAATTACAGTTCAAATACTTTATTTTTCAAGTACATATTAAAAGTGTTGTTTTGTCTTGATGCATATCAGTACTGGTTGTCATGAGTTTGATTTTATTCAATAACTAAATGCCTTATGTTTGTACAACATAAATGCACTGCCCAGGGCAATAAGAAAGGTCAAATTTAATAATATTGCAGCTTCAAAATATTCATGTGTATGTTCTTCAAAATTTTTGGAAATAAAACTAAAGTAATTGATATGTATTTGATTACATTTGTTAAAATCAATGTAATTGTAATTGCAAGTAATTAACAAAATTATCAACGTATTTTAAAGTACATATTTAATTACATCTCAAAGTATAAATTGACCCCAACCCTGTATTTCATTATTGATTAATCCGGAATCCTGGTAGACAGGAATAAAAGGATAATTTGTGGGTGAATGTAAAGATGAAATAATGCCATTCCAATTTTTTTTCACAGTTTAATGTCCACCTATAATTCAAAAACCTACACACACAGAAACACACACACTCACTCTCTGACATAAACAGACACAAGCCGAAAGATAAAACACAAACTTCATCATCATCAAAATCGATTAAATTTCATAATTCTATTTTTCTCGTAGAAAGATTTTTTTTGGAAATCAAGGCAATAAGTATAGGTACATGTATGCATCTAATTTCACAGATTCTCTACTATTATTCAATTATGAATAACCGTAAATCAATTTGAGAGCTTCCGATTCTTTGTGCGTGTCTTTTTTTTTATATGGAGTGTCTGAAACCATGCCGCATGAGGGCCTTAACATAGAAAAAAATTGGAATTCTCTATGAAAATATATATCTATGAAAAAGTGGGATTTTAAAACAATTGTATTTTCTACCAAAGAAATCCTGTGTCCAGAACTTGATGAGGCACCAAATAGCACAATTACACACATAAACCGATCTATAAATGGAACAGTGCGCTATAAATGCAACAAAGGGTATATTCTAGCAAACGGCAGTCTTCAGCGAAAATGTACTTCTTATGGAGAATGGGATGGAAAACCTCCAAATTGTACAGGTATTTAGAAGTTTTCTAGAAAAAAAAAAGAAAAATCGCACCAAAGTAAATGAATTTTACTCACAAGCGTAATTAATTTTACAATACGTGTATAAGATATGTCAATTTATGGCATGTAAATCCAAAAGTTACCAGTATGTTTAGTCACGTCCACCTAAAATATCGTTAAAAATATAGATCTCTCATAACTGCTTCTTTTGAGACAGCTTTAGGACAGTGCATGTGTCCCTGTAATATGGTGCATGAGCCAAAGTATACAAACACTAGTGACAAAGCACTGATCAGAGAGATCGAGAAGATGCGAGAAGAACTTCTTGTTCTAGAAACTGCGGCTGCTCTGAGAAAAAAGATATCTGTGAAAGATTTTCGTCCTTCTACCAATGCTTCTGGGAGTGTTTGGGTGATACTTCTGTTAATTATGGCTGCTTTAATAATTGTTCCTGATGTATTATCAGCTCTTAGACATGTAAAAATTGTGTGTACAAGACGTCTTATTTCTAGAGAAATAAAATAACAATTACTTTGTTTTTAAATTATCGGCGAGTGCTAACAGTTACATGTACCTTCTTACTTCCTTTATAAACAAACCATCTACTCAGTATTTTGCTTGCTTGTTAAATGAGGAGATTAAAATGAGTCTTTTATTTATTTCAAATATTCTAAAATTATTTCTTTATTTCTTTTTTTCTGACAATCAAATCCCATTGATTTATATATCTAATGTATTCTTTAAGAAACATAGACGCAGTGTAATGTATAGTGAAATATTAGTGGTTGAAAGAATATTGAAAATGAAAATTAGTGGTTGAAAGAATATTAAAAATAAAATGTGAAGTTGAACAGTGATAATTCTCAAAAGTAGTATTTAAGCAATACAAAGAGCAGAGCCAACATGGACCTCTGCAAACAGAGATGGGATCAGATGCCATGGAGGAGTAAGCATCCCCTGCCAATCACACCCGCTGCGTGCCTTAATGTGAATCGGGTAAACGGAAAAATTCGTAGTAAATTCAGTGTGAAAATAATGGTCTAATAATTTGTATGAAAGACATCAGTCAATATTCGACCCAACGACAGATTGTATTTGCAAAAAAAAAATTCAATGTATCGACCATGGAAACTTTGAACGACATTGTTGATACATGTATCTTTGTATCATTAACTTATTTGTCAATAGTCTGTCTTGTAATTAAAGTTTTTTCTTAGGTCATGATGTCCTGTTATTTCATAAATATATGATGACTGTTCGAAAAGTTCGCAGACAGTGTCAGTTTTTGCTATATTATTTTTTTTAAAAGAAATCAGCACATTATCATATGTAAAATTTTTTTAAAGGTTTTGCCAAAGGTCAACATGTCCGAAAATTTATTTTTACAATAGCTCCAAAACTTTGTGGTTTATAAAGTTAAAACTTTTTACAGTTTATAAATATATCATTGATTAACAGATAGAAAGTATCACTTGATAACAAATACTTAATAAAAAAAAATTTATCGAGAAAAATTCTTTTAAAAAAATGCATATATTTTTTAAAAATACACCTAATTAATTCCGTACTTTCAGTGAAAGCCATCATTGCAGAAACAATATATGTTTATCAATGAAGGGCAAGTTGGACTTCGATAGCCTCTGGAAAGTTGTTTTCCCTGTTTATTTTGTCCAAATGTTAAGATTTGAAACCGAGAGTACATTGCAAATGGCGGATTTTATAGGAGTCTTGTCTTTATACATGTCATGCTTTCAATAACAGCCTTTCAGAGACCATTCACGTCCAACTTGCCCTTCATTGATAAACATACATGTGCATTATTTCTGCAATGATGGTTTTTATTAAAAGTGCAGAATTAAGCAGGCGCATTTTTGTTAAAAATATGCAATTTTTTTTGAAATTTTTTTTCTTAAAAATATATTTTTTTTAAATATTTGTTTTCAAGTGATACTTTCTATCTATTAATTAATGATATATTTATAAACTGTAAAAGTTTTAACTTTATACCTCACGTAGTTTTGGAGCTATAGTAAAAATAAATTTTTGGACATCTTGACCTTTGGCAAGACCTTAATGTTTGGAGTTTCATTTCTTGTGAATCAATGGAAATCATGTTTCCTATAATTCTAAAATCTCAATGTTCTGTCACCACGGAGCACTCTTGACAATATTGTAACATCAAAATCATAACGGCATAAGTGTCTCAAAAATACTCTCCGGATACATTTCATACTCGGTCTGGCGCCATATCCTCTCATTAGAATTGCTGTACTACAAAACATTTAGTTTTCTAATGATTATTTTAGTAGCATGGATTCGATTGTTTTTGTTTTCATTTTTTTAACCGTATAACACTGCTTTTACAAGATCCGCAACAATGAAAATCCTATTTCAGTCTTTGACGTTACTAACTGTTTTGACTAGTGAACAAAAACGTGTGTACATTTTGGAAAATGGAATATCGATTTTGAAATCCAATTGATTAATTTGATATTAAAAAATGGAGAAATGGGCATGCTTACACATGCTGGTTTTCTTAGCATTTTATCCGATCAAAGTACTGTCTGCAATATTAAAGCACCCTGCAAATTCTCCTTGTTCTCTATTTCTAAATGCAAACTCTGTTTCCTTGGCCTGAAGCATATACTGAATATGAACGTAAGTTAGTGCACTCAAAATTAAGCGCTATCTTCCTCATCAACTGGTTAGCGTATTGATAAAGTAGCGCATTTTGAACTTAACTTTTAAAAGTATTTGATTAAATCTATATTATCATGTAAAAACGCAAATATTATTATCGCTAAAAAAAAGTTATAGCATAATTAAATCATGCCATGTTATAATTAGATAATTCATTATGAAGCAAGGGGATGACGAAGGAAATTAATTCCAACTTATTCCAATAATTAGAGGGGAAGGGAACAGTTACCGTACATGCGATATGTGCTGGCTCTACACGAAATGTTATTGTATCTGTGCACGTTCTAGCTTTATCAGAGATTATAAAATATACAAAGCATTGGTTTGATATGAATTTAATAGTAGAGGGGACAATGTTTGCAAAGAAATGAAAGAATTCGCAAGAATGTGGTTGCTTCTTACAGAAATAAATTTGAGTATCTAATGTTTGGGGGGAAATTGACTATAGGGGATGCTTACTCCTCATGGGCACCTGATCAACCTCTGGAATTTACAGGGGTCCATGTTTTATGTCCTGTTCACAGATTTCTATTGTTTATAGATTGTTATTATCACATTTTTCACTTTACTGAAGTACTAATATTCGGTAATGTTAATGGCCAGCTGCCCCTGACAGAAATGTAACCTAGAGAAGAGTTAAGTACAAGCCTTAATACCTGTATAATGTTTAAAGTATAGAGGTTTAATTGTTTTTTTTTTTTCATAGTTTAGATAGGGTACGGTTTACTTACAGAAACACAAAGATTCGAATATTAATGCATAACCTTTAGTCCGATCAAAGACTCTGCATTATGAAAAGAAATGCATTTATCATTATCTATAATACGAAAAAATAAACTACCAAATAACAATATTTTTCTTAAGCTTTGGGAAGAATCGTCAGAAACTCACAACATAAGACAGTTTAAAATCTAGAGAGAGAGAGAGAGAGAGAGAGAAGTTTACTATCAATTCAATTTATGGACATCACCATGTTGGTACACAATCAAGATACCAAGTCAAATGACAACCAACAGATGAATAAATAATATCATAATGGCCAAACACTCAAGACAAAGTCACTCGATCCTTCAAAGTCCATTATATATATATATATATATATATATATATATATATATATATATATATATATATATATATATATATATATATATATATATATATATATATAGTTACATAAGCGTTTTGTAATATTATATTTACATAAGTTAACAATTTCTTTAATAAGATCAGTATCACAGAAAACGAACAGTGATTTATCCAAGAAAACCTACAAACAATACAAATCTGTGAACAGGGCATATAACACGGACCCCTGGAAATTCCAGAGATGGGATCAGGTGCCTAGGAGGAGTAAACACCTCATGTTGACCGGTCACACCGATGTATTGATCAAGGTACAAGGAATATATCTGTAGTCAAATTTAGTATTAAAACAAAGGCCTACTGTTGGTGAGTATAAGTAGGAGTTCCAAATGTAGAATAATTTTTTTTTCTAAATTACAGTTATAATATAATAAGCCTTACAAACTAAGACGATATTGTTACAAGCTTTGTCTGCTGGAACCATAACTAACATGTCTTGTTCATCTAGTCTTTCTGATTCTTTTATCACCTCCGATTTACGAAAAACAGAAGGATAAATGGTTCGCATATTGCCTTTTAACTTTCTACATGATTCTTTAATATATTTTTGAAACAATTAATTCATTCTGACAACGTGGTTAGGTCTTCCCCTTTATAATTAGCCCAACGTCTAGCATAATCTTCTCCCTGTTTTAGGACCTTTTAAAATAATTGCTTTTTGGTCGTCATTTTCAACTATATATTAAAATCAGCAGTGATGACGTGTTCAGCGAAACTATAGTTGAAAGAAGAGGAAGAGCAAGAATACTTAAAAGGATTTTGTATAATTGTTCAATATCTAGACACTGCAAGGTTTGTTTATAATTGAAAAGTTTAAAAGCAACAGCAAGCAACAAGGGAATATCTGTAGGAAATTAATACAGGATGTAGAATTCAACTTGAAATATGGTGGAATGCAAGACTGGACTTTTATATGATTAAGAATGTTATTTATACTCACAATGTTGGCAAATTTAAGTTTAAGGAACCGACAGATTGAGTCAAAATTATCTTCCGTCACACGTGGTGGCCTACTGGCCAACATTTATAATCACAAATACTAGCTAGTATTCTGCAGTTGAAGAATCAAACTATGGACTTGCTTGGACTTGATTTAGCTTCTTTAAATGGTCCATTCAAAAATTTCAAGGGAACCAAGCAGAGTTTAGTTCGAATGTGATGAAGCCCTAATTATTTATTGACGTAAGGCAAAAGTGAATCAAAAGAAACATCATGTATATTTGGTACATGTATATTGTATGATCGATGTCTACGACTACGCCTAAGTCTAGGTGTATTGTAAAAAGTCCCATTACATTCACATTCGCAGATTATGGGCTTGAGAGATTTCCTGCATAATTTAAATAGTCGTTTCAACCATAAGCCGTGCCTAGTTTCCTGATCCAGTATTCTTCTCGTTGTCTACGGAATGGAGTACTCAAAGTAGGACTATTAGTTGAATAGTATACTTTTTCCAAAATTCTAACCCTCATTGAAAGAATAGAGTGATCAGGCGAATTGACATGTTCATGAAGATACTGATTGCCCCAATTATTCATTCATACGTTGATTCGATATAACCCGATACAACCCACTGAAATCGATATCGAAATATAAGAACCCTGTCATGACTACTTCAATTTTGGTTATTTTACCAGAGAAAGACATTGATGGCAAACTATCAACTAAACTTTATGATA